CCTTGTTTAACTATTCGTTCCCGATTGTGGACGGCGGCTGATCAATCGATCGAGCGGTTGCGAGTAGGGGTTTCCTCTCGTCTCTCACGTCGGCGTATTAAGATACGCAAATACTGTATGCGACTATTACTGCAGTATATTTAATTGTCAGTGGAGCGCTGAACACGCCGTTCCAGGAAGAGTTCTAGCTTGGCCTGTTTCCCTAGCTACGGCAGGGTGAGGAACCACCTTTCTAGCCTGCTGGGAACACCCGATAAGACCAGCTACTGCTTTACGAACGTCTTCATTCCGTCCATAGGTTAAAAGCGGATTTAACAATCCATTTAGCCAGATGAGGGCACCATAAAATGGTCTCAAGCAACGAGATTTGCAAACGATTTTGCAAACCCTGAAACCAACAGAATTGGCGGAAAACAAATCGCTGGTAAGAAAGTTAACAGGAGCACAATCAGGATCAAACTAACTGTGTTTGCCAATTTCTTCTCTCTTTTTATTATTGTGAGCATTCGACCTCCTAGCACGTGCGGATGCATGGTTCGCTTGTGGCGTATGCTTGACATAAAAATGCCAATATAAGAAGAAATAATAATAATTGTGGAAGAAACATACATGAAACTTGCCGCAAGTAGTGGCACTACACCAGAAATAAGGGAATGCGCGTTTGCGTAAACGAATCCAGATGACAGGAAACTGTAAAGCCAAACGACAGAAGCTTGTTTTATAACCCGTGATTTTTTCACATTGCTGCGGTACAGCAAAGGTTTGCTCACCGCTGAATATCGATCTCTACTAATAATGGTCAGGTTACCAACGGTTGCTGTCACACACAAGGAAGCAAACCAAGACCCCTCCTCGCTTTTTTCGGGGCAAAGACCTTCACTAGTATATCTTACGGTGTGTCTGACAATGGAAAACAAAGCCCACAGCAAGTCAGTTATTGACAGACTACACAGCAGTAACAGTGGAGGATTCTGAAGAGATCTTGTTCGGATCACAGCAGTGAGAACAAGGCCATTGGTCAAGAGCGAGAGAAAGGCTACCAGCATGGCAAGAGGAACAATGATGTAGTTAGTGACGTGACGCACTGTTTGCTGTGCATCTTCAGGAATGCTAGCGATGAGGCATCTTTGATAAGGAAAAATTCCTGAATGATTGGTCTCATTGAATTGGGACAACATTGCCTGAAATGAAACACGGTACAACTTACCAAAAGGAATCGTTTCCAGTAGCGAACACTAAAGAATGCACGACACCTCGTGAGTATTTCTATTTACATATTACCTGTTATTTTTGTCGTTACTCTGTAAGTCAATACATAAAACACCCGCATAGAAAAACACGGTCTGAAAGATCACAATGTAACTGCAGAAATCTTTTAAGTCATCAGGAAGTGTTGCCAAACCTGTTATGAGACGCAGGCTGTAGACTGATTTTGTTTGCAGCGACTGGGTTCTTTTGATTATTAACGGGACGGAAATATTTCCAGCGATACCGGGTACTTAGTGAAAAATCAGCCTGAAAATGTCCTTATAGTGTTTAAATTTTTTTTCAGAAATACTATACCTTACATTACTAAAGGTTTCATTAACATACAAAGTTTCATATACTTACACTAAAAAATAACTTTCAAATATGTTAGTTAATTAATTCATAGTACTGCAGGTTTAATATAAGTGCTTTGTTGTTCTAGCATCCTCTTCTTTTATATAAGAACATGTTATTTATCAGGCTGAATTGGTTCTTGTATGTATGGTGCTTTATTGACCAACTTTCAGCCTGATGTTTAATCCACTTGTTGTTATATGTTGGTGTTTACTGTACCACAAAACATGCATCAATAAAGCTAAAACCGTTTCCTCGCCATATGTCATAATCTGCGGACATCGTGAGTTTAAATCTTGGTGTCTTTATTTTTCCCGCTAATTAAGTCACATATATCTATCAAAGATATATGGAGATCTTTCTTTTTCGCCCAATCATATCAGCAAAATATATGAAAGAAATTCATTGAGTAGTCTATTTAAAATACCCTGGAATAATTAACAATTATTCACCGAAGTGGAGGCAAATATCCATCACTCTCACCGACACTGAGGTGAATAATTGTTTTAGTATATACCACACAAGCTGAATAATTAGCGGACCAAAACGTTATTTTATATGTGACAAGCGGTCAGAAATTTTAAAATCCCTCGCGCCGGCTGCTCGGAGGTGAATAGTACTTGCTAATCACCTCCGAGTTAACCAATCAGAGCGCGCGAAAAGCACTATTCTCTTATGTGGTATATACTAAAACAAAATAAATACTGAAGACATTATTTTTCTCCGAAGTTCAAAGGTATTATCTTTCATATATTCACTTGTAAAATAAATATTGAGAGAAATTGTAAACGACGGTTTTTGTCGTTGAATGATACGAAAGCTGACAACCGTGTATGCAACCGTGATCTTAATGCAGTAATAGCAATTAGATCAAGTTAAACATAAATTACTGAATTTTGACCCGGAGCGTGCCCGACAATTGGAAAACGAGGGCGCTTGAAAAGTGTGTCATCTTAGAGCTAGTGATCTGCCTTTTAATTCGCTTGAAGGCCGAGAGCTTACTGGATACGCTAAAGATCCTTTAACTAAAACCTCCATTTAACAAGGAGTAAATCTATGCTCATAAAACATATATTGCTGGATGGTTTTACCTGCTATCAAGTTGTAGTTCTCACTTCGATATCAACGATAAAGAGTGTCTGGAGAGAACGTGTAGAAAGCCTGGATGTCGTATTGATTAAGCGAGTGCCCAGAAAGGATTCAAACTGTCGAAAAGCTGGTTTGGAGATACACGAGACTTGACGCTACTTATTTTAGAAACAAACTGAGATACAACTGCACTTTTCCCACACTCTTTTGGCTATTCCGACTGAAACTTGAAAGTTGTCCGACTTATTCACTTATGTTCCAATCATACCTCTAAGTTGTCTGTTTAATTGATCTTTAAAGATCGCATCAATTAATTGACAGATTTCAGCCAGCAAAAATCTTCCGATATCGGGTTAATATTTGAAAACCTTACCAGCGATCGATACACCTCACATTTACAAACGAAATATTTTATCATAAACAATTTTGATAACTTTTTCAACAGTTAAATTTTTCTTTAGCGGTTTTAGCGGACTTACTATCATATTTTTCATTGTTATTTCTCCCCAATTAACTAGTCTTGTCGTAATCAGTCAGAATTATAATTACCCTGGTAACGCTACATGTATTACAAGGATAACGTTATTTGTCTATAGAAAACTCAAAATATATAGCAGTTCAAAGATATCAGTGACGTCACCTATTGTTATTAATATGCCAACCAGAGAACTATTGGTTGGTGAAACAAATATTTCTTTTGTTTAAAGTTTGAACATTTAAATAACAAAAACAATCTTTGTAAACAAATATCTTCCCTATTTAGCATCGTAAGAAGTAGGCAAGTGTTCAACCTCAATGCTCAAATGGAGAAATAAATTTCTTTAGACTTTTACACCAAGGTCTCACATATAAGCAATTTTAATTTCTGCCAATAACCAGACATTGTGGCAGACATAATGTAATTTATAAATAATGAACTGGTAGGCAGGAATGTGTGAATTTCAGATTTTAACATCCGGATGACGTAAGATTTTTCCAGTTACTTCGTTATCTTTCTGAACGTGTTTTGAAAATGCAAATGTCATTCTCTTTATAAAATTAAGGGAATTCAACATATAAAATATAATATAAATATGTAAAATTTAAAGATAAAGTGATATTAAGAGAAATGTGATGAATTATCTATAATTACCAACCTCGTTAGTAAAGTTCTCATTTTGTTTTAGATGTAAACGGATTTACGACATCAGTTGAAACTATTAACTTCCTGACAGTCTGTTCATTTTAACCATTTACGTCCCGTTAATTAATGCGCGCTACTGATAAAGGCCAATTGAACAGACTACTTATACTCTTGTGAATATGTATGTTTGAAGTTTCCGCGACAATGGATCGGAAGAGAAAAATATGTGAATGAGTCGGACAAGTCTTTAGAGTTTTAGTCAGAATAGCCAAAGAGTGTGGGAAAGGTGCAGTTGTCACTGAATGTACTTAAACCTCTGCTTTCAGTTCACACAGATGCAACCTTGATCTAGATAAGGAGAGTCAACATTCGTTCATCCGCCAAACGAGCTTTTTGACATTTCGACTCATTTGTGGGCACAAGCTAATGCGACTTATCATCCCAACAGTCTATACATTTTTTTCAGGCGTTCTTTGTCGTTGATATCGATCGAAAGCGGAGAACTTGATTACAGGTAAGACAACCAAAGTATCTTCTGACCAGAAATTGATTCCTCGGTCAACAAAAAGAGATTTTGTATGATCTTTACGTACCCAGTAAGCTTGGAGAGATCGATCTAGCATTCAAATGGATTGGCAGGTCCCCCACGAGTTCTGAGATGACTGAAATACTTCTCAAGACATCTTCGTTTTCCCTCAGTCGGCCAACCTTCGGGAAAAATTTAGCAGTTTTATGTTTACCTTGATTTTATTGTTTTAACTCTATTACATGACGGTTGTGTGCAATTTTTTGATAAAAAATGCCAGATTTAATACCCTCCAACGACTGATACCATCGATTTATAACTTCTCAGATTATTTTGTCATTTCATTCGAATAAATTTTAGTGGTCTAATTAATCAGTTTATTTTAGAAAAAGAATCGTAAAGCGCAAAATATATCTTTTAAAAGCGGCTTCTAACATGCTGAAAAATCAAGGAATCGGTTTTGACTCACGGATATTCCGTAAATTTTGACAGGTAAAAATTATACAGGTTTAAGGCAAGGAAGCTCAAGAAAGGCAGGAAGGCATATATAAAGGACTACCTATCAAAAACTCAGAAAAAAACCTAAAAATGCTGTCATCGGCTCACAACTCAAAATGATCAAAATTTCGGATAAAAAGTAGTCAAGTAAAGCGCACTCAAGCACTCTAAAAGAAGTAAAATATAGAATACAGCAATACCAGAGGCATTTGGAATTTCACTGCTGAGAGAATTAAATAATTTGGGGCCTTGAAAACGGAGTGAGAATTTCCTTACTTAATTTGTCCCACAGTCATTGTTAGTTAGTCCTACAGAATGCTTAATTCTAGTATTATGTTTATGTACGTCACAGTTAAGTTAAAACATATCATTGAAACTTTCAGGAAGAAGGCGATTTTTATAAAGGTGCATAACTTTACCTATTTGAAGTTTAATTCTAATAGTATACTAATGCAAATGCTGCAGTCTGATTGGCTGAGCTACTCGTAGACTATCAGCCAGTAGAACGCAGTGACGTCATGTTTTCTCGTTTTTGCAAAGTTAAAGAAGAAGATTTAATTACAAATGCATAATTAAACTCCTGGAAGACTAAACTGAAAGGCATTCACAGTTTCGTAACTTTAAAGAAACAAGAAAATGTTGAAAAAACTGACGAGTGGGCGTACACAACAGGAAATTCCAAACAACAATTCAGTCCGCGCGATTTTTCTAAAGCTAAAGTTAAATACGATGTACAAAAAAATTGGAAATGGTTAAATTTAAGTGAGAATTATACTAAAACAACTAGACTATTCGCTCTCGATTTCTGTAAGTTCATGATAGTTGATTCGGCCTTCGGTATCATCAACTGTTACCTAATGGAAATTAATTAAATCTCGAGTTCATAATCTAATTGTTAAATAGTGGGTATACAAGGAGGTCTTATTAAGGCAAAAACTTGATTTGTAAATAATGCCTACTGATTTTGAAATTTTCCTTGCCACGTTCTGTCTGTGAGATTTCCAAGACAAGTCTTCAGCACAATCAATAGGTCACGTTCGATGTATCAATATTCTAACATGGCGCTGAGGCTTTCGGGTCAAAATTGTAATTTTTTTTTAAAGTTTCTTTTGTCTCTCAATTCCCAAAAGAGACTTAAACACACTAAAAAACACCACACATAGAAGTTTGTCCTGAGAGCCTCTGAGCGATGTTAGAATATTGATATATAGAACAAAACCTCTTTCAGTTTCAGTAATGGAACTGAAGGTAATTCAAGATTCCTCTTGTTTTGAATAAAATGAAATTTGATTTTCTAATATTGATAGAACTTTTATTAGCCTGGTCGAACAAGCTTGACAGTTTCGTCTATTCAATAGTTACACTTATCATTAAGTAAATTTGGTTCTTTGTGTGAAAAAAATGATAAGTGTCATCATTAAATAAGAAATACAAGATGGTTGACTCATTGCAT